GTTTGAACCCAAAACAGGCAAAAGGTTACAAAAAAGAAGACCAGCTAAAATGTCCTTACAATTCCAAGGTTGGCAACTGGTCCTCACAAGGACAACTACACGTGAACGCGCGCACACACACCTCTGACAGCTCTAAAGTAGTGCTATATGTGTTAATCCCAAAGCACTAAACCAACAAATGTAAAGTTAGACTTGTCAAATGAAATTCAGCTCTTGTTCCAGTGTTCAACCCCCTCCTCAGAGCGTGTCTCCTCTCTGCACAGCTTTGTGTGGAAAAAGGGGAGTAAAGGGGCATATTTTGGCAGCCTGTGCTTCTCCCTCCCAACAACACTGCAGCTATTATTGTCGACCCCGGTGCCCCCAAAACCCCAATCCCATACAACAACGAGCAGGCCACACATAGCTCCAAAAAAGTGCAGAAGGATGCATTTTGCTGCACAATCCTAGCTTCCCGTTAGGCAGTCCCAACAGGTAGAAAATTAATGTAGTTCAGCTGAAAGCCACATGTTAGCCGTTTGTGGTGAGGCTGTGCGGGAAACTATTCTGAGGGTGTGTGCTTCCTGGAAATAAAGCTGCTGTTTGAGGGCCAGCCTGAGATTTAAATATAAAGCTAATGTTTTCGCTACTAACACCAGCAGACCGACAGATAACTGGATAGTGTCACAGCTGAGTGAGCGTTATGTTAGCTGAAACTATTTAACAGTTACACCACCATAGGAGCCGCTCACACCTAACGTACAGGTTGGTGTGATGACCTCTGACCGCGACAACAACCTGTAAGTGAATCGTGGGTAGAAACTCACCGATTAAAATAGATAAAATGAGTCGAATCGCTGGTTCCGGGGAACCTAAAGACTCCGACAGTTGCTCCAGCAAGGGGGCCGCCATCTTTCTTGTGGGCGGAAACGTCTTTTCGCCACAGTTCGGAGAGCTGTGTGGACGCAAACCTCAACTTTTTAAAGGATCCCTCAACGCCTCCTCTCTTCACCTCCCCTTTATGATGTCAACTTTTTTTTTCGTTTGCTTTCTGAGTTTGTTAAATGAAGATATCAAAAAAGGTGGGCTTTTGCGAAAAATAAGAAAATAAAGCTAAAATATCAGACAAAAAATTTAGTAAAGTAAGATAAATATACATTTAAATAAAACGTTAAGTGATTATATAATAAAACCAAATATTATTAGCAAAGCAAAACCATTACGGCTTACAATCCTCTCCACTCGCGATTTTTTAAAACTGAATTTAACACAAAGCTTAATTATCCTTCTTTTATTTAAGGAATAATCAGCAGAGTTTTTAAAAATGCCATAAACGTTATTTAATTATGTTTTTGTTTATGTTTTTAAGATTTCCATATGTTATTAGCTTTATTATTGCAAGGATTTGTTTTAGTTTAATGTATATAGTGTGGATGTATAAACAAAATATAAACAAAAAGAACAACTGCACAAACATTTATGATAATGTTATATTTTTATTATTAAAACAGAATTTATTTAACTTCTTTCTTTTTTTTAACATGTCACGTTTGGTGACAACTTGGTAGGCCAGTATCAGCCCCATTTATTTAATCTCTGTGGGTAAAAGCCATGACTGTAGAAAACAGATGATACACGGTGGTGTAAGTGTGCCCCCATGTGGCGAAATAAAGAAACAACATTTAGAGATGCTCCCTGAACAAGAACATCAAAAAGTCATTTTAACTAGCCTTATAATTTATATTGGAGTTTACTTAGTTAAACATTAAAAATGCCCCTTTTTGTTTATTTCAACAGTCTCAAGTGCAGACAAGTGTTACGGAAATCTTAAATAAATCAATCTACATAAAACAAGCTGTCTTTCTGAGATTTTAAGTCAAACAACTATGCAGAGTGCAGGAGATGTCCATGTGGCATTTAACAAAAAGTAATAACAAGCATGGAATAATTTATAGGAATACGTTATCTCCCCACCACGGTCACAGAATACAATCAAGACATAACGTGCAAAAGACAACTTGTACAGATGACTGTATCTTGTAATAGAGAATTATATTGAGACAAAAACATGATACCATGGAGCCTTTCATTCAGCTATATCAACACAGAGACAAATGTCAGGAGCGATTTGTAACAGAAGGATAGCAGCAAGATTGAAAGGGGAAGTTTACATGATGGTGGTGAGACCTGCTATGGTGTGTGGTTTTTGTATGGTACCACTAACAAAAAAATACAGGAGGCAGAAGTGGATGTGACCAACTGAAAGAACAATATAATGTTGTATTGTATTTTCTTTACTTTACTCCCTTATTTTAAACTACCTTGACTTATTACTGAGCTCATTCTTTCAATTCTTATTTTGTGGTTTTTTTTTTCTTTTTGGGGGGGAACATTTTATTTTGCTGGATCGAGCTTCATATTTATTCTGCTTATTGGAGCACAGCTTAAACTACGGCTTTTGTAACAACTTGTCATACTAATGACGATCAGCTAATGTAATTTTTTTTAGTACACTGCATTTTCAACAAACAACAACATGAACAAAAGAAATTTCCATTTGGTAATTAAATATTGTGGGTATATGTCATTTAAAAAACAACAACCACAACAACAACATTAAAAGGTACTCCATAAATAACATTAGAAATCCTTGAAAAATAAACTATGTAAGTATAATACAAATGATTTTGAAGAGGACTCGACTACACACCAATCACAACGCTTCTAAGCCGTTATTAAGGGGTGGGGCTGGGCAGATTGGCCATTCATCCAGAAAATGTGATATTTTCTGTTTTTCTGTACCTTTGCCTGTAACACAAATTGAAAACAATACTCTAGGATTTGTATAATCAACTTTAAAGCTCCTGTTTTACCACAGTTATTGGGGGGTTTCTCTTTATGAGACACCTAGAAAATATCTAAGCGCAAAGATTCCTGACATGAACCCATCGGTACTAGCACACTAGGCACAGGCACTGTTGTCATGGTGTCATCCTGTAACTTTCAAAACTGATGTCAGAATAACAAACATACATGTAAAATATACAGCAGTATAATATGTCTTCATATACATCCAGAGATATTCACACAAATCTCTTAAAGCCATCAATTGGGGCTGTAATCAGTAGATTAAAGCTCCTAAGACATAGGTGTCAAGCTCTGGCCCGCGGGCCAAATTTGGCCCGCAGCCTAATTACATTTGGCCCGCGAAGCCATACCAAATTACTATTAGAGCTGGCATACTGGTATTATACAGCTAATATATATATTGTTTAGTATTAAGCTTTGCTTGTTCCATATTCAGTTTTCCAGCAAAACTTATTTGAGTCCATAAGAAATGATTCATTCTTATATCTGGAGGAAGATTTTTTTTTTTCTCAATAAATATTAGCGTTAGCCCGCAACTTTGTTCCAGTTTTGAATTTTGGCCCACTGTGTATTTGAGTTTGACACCCCTGTCCTAAGAGAACCAGAACCTCATTTGTCTGTACGCATGCCTAGAGGCAACAAATTCAGGTAGAAAAACATGAATAAACAACTGTTTTCTGCACTCAAATCTGTGCAGAATCCCCCGATTTACGCTAAGCAGAATTATTTTAATCATTATTAATTAAAATTAATTCTCCACCAACATAATTAGTTAATTAATTATGTTGGTGAAGGAAACTGGATTACCCAGAGAAAACCCACGCAAGCATGGGAGGAACACAGAAACTCGTCAGGGACCTGGGAACAACAGAGAGAGGATGGATGCTTTTCACTGGTATTGTATGGTGGCTCAAAATCTGACTGTATTTGTGTGTGTGTGTGTGTGTGTGTGTGTGTGTGTGTGTGTGTGTTTGCATAAATTTTGAGTCCCAAACCATGACACAGCCCCCACTGTGTTCTACCGATGGCTTACTGTTGCACCTCTCTCCTTACATGCTCCATAAATATTGACAATGATTTGAACAAAATTATCATGAAAAACATAAACAAAGTAAATATGCTAACAAGTCACATGTTAAAAATTAAGGCCAACATGTGACCCACCTGCCAAACCTTAATACAAAAGCAGTAAATTTAGTTGATCTTAATGAGTAATATCACAAGCTAACCACCTCCTATTATAGTTTTAAGTCTCTTTTTATATAACTTAATACATTTTCTTAGATATGTAGCTGTACATAATTGTGAGCTATTTCAAACTGAATTTCTGTTATTACTGGGGCCCACCTGCAGTCCCACTATGGACCACGAGGGGGCTTCAGCCAACACTGGACTAGAGTGCTGTTAACACCAGTGGATGAGAGGACAAATAGGACCATTTGCTCAGATTTTATGCACTGCCACGTCATACATTTTCCATTTATTGCATTGTTGCTCAAGCAAGTTTCAACATTAACAAAATATATACGCATCAATAAATCAATCATTACAGCCAAATAAGTGAGTAAGACTGAACCTTCTGTTCCAGGCCAGTTTGAAATCCATGTTTTATTTATATAAGCCTGGAAAAAATGAAGGCTGGATTTTCTGTTTCCGAGCCAGACAAACGTGAGACTGTGTTTCGTGTTGACGAGCCTGCTATGAAGTCAGAGACTGTGTTTCGTGTTGCCAAGTTGGCCCAAATGAATTTGAATTTTGTGTTTTCCAACTTGCCGATTCAGACACTGATCCTTGTTTTTAACTTATGAAATCAGAGTTGTTTTGTTGTTCCTTTAACATAAAGTGAGGCTTATTTAGTGCCTCACTCTGAACCTGCTCATAGTGTACCACAGTCTCAACTTCTTCACAATGTGAATCTGAATCTGCTCCTTATGTGCCTCAAAGTGAAACTCCTCATTATGTGCCTCAAAGTGAAATGGCTCACTGTGTCCCTCAGAGTGAAACTTATTCCAAAATAGCTGTGCTAGAGACTGGTTAGCTTCCCTAAACTAACCTCTTCAAAGACCGCTCGAAGCAACAGTCTAGAGGCTGTTCCTTTGCAGTTGACCAGTTTGATCTTCTAGCTCCCTCCATGACCCAAGTTGGTAATAGTGGAGATGGCTAAGCACGCTGCATCCGTCCCAGTACTTAGGGTGAAGGTGGCCAGGGCCCAGCTTATCCATAGTTTTCACGTGACATCTAAGCTACTGGGACACGCCTTCTCAGAGGTCAAAAACAGTACTGCAGTCCTTTGCCATCCAGCCATCATTTGAACATCTTCGAGTTATACTTAACCACAATGCCAGATAGTTGCCGTTCTATTGGATGCACGAATCTACGTTTATTTACAACTGCCAGAAAATGCGTAGAGTATGGCACCAACATGTGAGCACACCTCTCATAACCCTGCCTTACAAACCAGTTGTTACCAATCCCTGCTTCTCCATAGCAACCCATGCTGTCAGTGGCGGCTCATTTAAACTGTAGGAATGATTTACCTGACATCGTAAAAAATACTCTGTCAGCTACTACTATGACACAACAATAATGTGACAAATTAATAGTACAGGAACTTTTCTGGGCCTACGCTGTAAACTTACAGGTTGAGAAAACAGAAGATTTATACTTGGTAGTTTGTTTACGCTTGCTATGTTGCACTTATCTTTGCTTTAATGACAAACCTCCCACACGGTGGTATTATTGTCCATACTGTCCATACTTTTAAAGGTTTCATCCTGGCAGCAGTATAAGTTGAGGGATTCTCTAGAGGACACATGTAGATATGCCACTGAACAGGAGCTCTGGGAAAGACGTAATCACTTTCAGGGATTTAAATAAAGCTACCGGGATCACAAGACCCCAAAATTCGTACTTTCTCTTTATATCTCCATTTTTCCTCCATGGATGATCTTGGCTCAAGACAGGTGAAACAAACAACACTCATCCTGCAGTACTACCGAGTGTCCACTGTTGGCCTTTATGTCTCAGTCCCTAGAAGTGTATTTTTTCCTACTTAGCCTTTTTTTTAGTGAATTGCTTGAAATTGTTAAACAGACATTAAGGCTATTTTCGTCCCACTTCTGTATTACGAGTTCTGCATTTGGGTCAGCAACCTGACCGTCACACAGCACTACATGATACTAACTGGAAATCATTGCAAAACAATGTCACATGAACACATGGAACAAAAAATCATTTCCACCATGCAATTACCGAAACATCTTTTGTCTTTTATATAAGAGATATATTATTTCATGACCTGCCAAGGGACTACAGATGCAAATTAGCTTAAGCCAACTCTGGTACAATACATTGAATGGCTACATTTATGTTAATATCGTACACGGTCCCTTTTCACATCAAATATAATATCCATCCATCCATCCCTTCGCTTCCGCTTATCCTTATCCTACAGTAGTAGGTAATATTCATGTATAATTTTGTTAATTATAGGCAAGAGTAAAAAAAGAGTTCCATATTATAGCATCAGGAGGTTGTTCATTACTTTTATATTTAACTGGCTTCATTGCTGGCGTGTGTGTTTTCGTATTGTCATCAAACAGAAAGAAGTTGAATGCAAATGGTTTCAGTAAGCAAAGGGAATACCAGCAATCTGTCTCAACACTTGGAGTATAATAATCACCGAATATGAAGGATGGCTAGTATCAGCAGATTTCTTCCCACAAGCTGCAGATGTTTGATTTGAGTTTTACGCCGGATGCTTTTCATAACCTAAACCTAAAGAACGATGTTGGGTTTCTTTGTTCATTTGAGAATAAAGTCTAAATTAATTTTTGGATGTTGAGTCCAAATAACATCAACCAGGATCCAATATGTTGAGAAAAAATGGAAATGTTAAGATTAAAGTTGTTGTTTCAAGTTAGATTACTGCCAATTAGTACACAGCTGCCCCACCCTCCACAAAATATTTGTGTAGATGAGTCAGTGTCATGGGACTTCAGAATTGGTTTTGGTGGCGAGGGATTTTTTTTTTTCTTCCTGCACACAAACATAGTTTTATATGTATATATGTATGAGAACTTCTGTCTGTTCAGGAAGTCAAAAAAACCCCAACAAACTGAGAAGAAAAGGCCACAGTTGTGCAAAGCTGGCAATGAACAGATGCAATGTCGATTATTACACATGTGCACATTACAGTGGCGGTATGCTGTATCAGAAAAATCAGGCTGCAATTGATGATATTTCACAAGAATACATAAGAACTAATACTAAGATACTAAGATTTTCAGGTGATTGTCAAATTTCGAAAAAATAAAATGTGTTTTCGTCAATGATTTTAAAAGACAAACTCTTCAACGAACTTTGAGGGGTGAAAACCAAAAAAATGTATGATTAAAATTTTACATGTATGTACATGCAGATGTCTGGTGGGACCGAGGGATAGGGTGAGATAGAGTTGGATGATTTGTTGTGTCGACATCTAAAGGAAGCAGCTGAAACAAGATGAAGAAAACAATGAAAAATCATTTTTAGCTCACGTTCATGCACGTGCAGCAGGTAAGGCTTCACAATACAGACTTCAAGCACAGACAATGATGCAAAACACACAAAGCAACTCAGTAATTTCTGAAGGGCAGAGGATTATTCTGCAGCAATCAAATGAATCACCTGAACTTAACCCAGCAAAGAACCCTGAAGACAAAACTGGATCCACAAAAAACAGCCTAGCAGAGCATCTTAAAGGAGGTAACCCAACTTTGCTTTTTGCTGATGATAGCGATAATTTGTCCAATTACATGTGAGCCTTTTAAAATTTTTGTTAAATGCCTTGAATTAAAGCTGAACCACTTTCAGCACATAAACATGGTGGGTGATAAATATGAGGACTTTGAAATGATTGTGTCTGCTCAGAAGAAAGAAAAAAATTAAGAACACACACAAACTTGGACAATTTACCACAATTGTGCAAGGTGACAGATGCAATATCACTGGTTGCACATTTGTGCAAAAAGGAGGTGTGTTTTTTCAGAAGAACAGGTTGCAACTGATGATATTTCACAAGAAAACACAAGAATGCATACTGAGAGACACCCTTGAACTAATGAAGTTGATCTTTTCAACATTTCCGATTTTTTCCCCAAAAAATCTGACTTTGAGGTCAAGGTCACTGGCATCAGATTTGTTTGAGGTTTTTAGTAAATGTACCTACGGTATGAATTTGAAGTTCCACATCTCTCAAGTTATCATGTTCAAGAGATTTTCAGAAAACCTGATCTCTGAGGTTTAGGTGACTGAGATTCAAATTCTTCCAGTGCTTTTAGAAAATGCACTTATGATATGAATTAGAAAATCCTAGCTGAAATCTTTCTAAATTTACTGTATTCACAAGATTTTCAGAAAATTTGACCCCTGACCTTGACCTTGAGGTCAAGGTCACCAGGATTCAAACTAATCTGAGATTTGGTGTCAGTTTGAAAATCATATGTCACCTAATTCTCAAGTTATTGAAGTCACAAACTTTGGTGTCCATGCTGTCTGCCCGCCCGCCTGCCTGGCAGGGTAACAACAATGCCTCGTTAGCCTTTAACGGCTGAGTGATAAAAATTGTTTTTTATTTCTCATTTTGACTATAAAGTTGAAATAACTACTGCCAATTAGTGCACGACCTGCTACACCCTCTACAAAATACCTTGTGTAGATGAGTCTGAGACATTTTGCTTCAGAATCGTTTTTAGAACCAGGAGATTTATTTTTCTCTTTCTGTACATAAACTGCTGTGTGAAAAATATGAGGCCTGCGAAGGGTCTATTAAGAAAGAAAGAAAAAACACACTCAATCCCAGAAGAGTTGGCTGCAATGGTGCAACGTGAAATTGCCGGCAGTGAATGGATGCAATGTTGATGGTTACATAACTGTGTAGTAAAAATGGAGGTGTGCTGTATAAAAAAAAATGAGGTTGCAGCTAATGGTATTTTACAAGAATGTACAGAGAAACACATACCGAGAAATCCCCGAGGACTGAGACAGTTCACCCTTATCTCAGCACTTTATTCTCAAAATGAATAAAACACTTCAATGTCTCTTTCTTAACATGATCCTAATACTCTAAAACCAGGGTAAGAAGGGCAAGAAAAAAAAACATTAATAACGATCAAGTTAAAATGTTCAACTAATCATCAAAGTGATCTGAGGTCATATCGCCCAGCTCTACCAAATGCACAGATTCACTCATTTCATGACAAACCACTGATATAATCTATGTAACTTTTAAAGAAAAGTCAGAGCATTATGTCATGTAGATGTGTTTGTGTGGTTTTCAGTGGCACTGAAACATATTAATAAGACAAAAGCTGCTGGATGACAATCTTATTGGACATGGATGCTGAGCTGCTGTGCAGGAGAAAAAGAATAAGACCACAGAGAAGATCCATGGAAGTAGTGAAGGAGGGTTGGTCAGGCAGAAGAGGATGATGGAGGCAGGGAGAGATGGAGGCAGATGATTCACTTTGGTGACCCCTAAAAGAAGCAGCTGAAAGAAAACGAAGAGGATTATCATCAAGAAAGACGAAGAAAACAATGAAAAAGAATTTGTGTGTGTAGGTTCTCAGTCATCCAGGTCGTGGTAATCTAAGGAGCTTGGAAAAAAAAACGAGTGGACTTCTTTAAGTGTCTTGAAGATGTTTCACCTAGCATTCGAGAAGCTTCTTCAATTCTAAAACCAAATGCTGGAGATTACCAGGTATTTAAACTCAAATGCCCAAAAAGTTTATTCTGTTCATCTAAACGTAGCGTTTTCAGCGAGGTTGACTACCCAATATTAGTCATGTTGGTTTTAGTTGTTATGCAAATGTTATGTTATGTTATGAAAACACTAAATCCAGGTGAACAGAATCAGCTCTTTGGGATTTCCTTAACTGGATGATTCAGCATGCATCAAGACCTAAAGGGAGTTGTCCCTTCAGACGGTTGTTGACCAATTATTGAACATGTGCCAGTCCACAGAGACTCCTGCCTGACCTCATGTGTCAACCGACCCATTAACAGTGCGAACAAGAAGGGGCTCAGAGCAAGGTCAGTGATGTAAGCCCACCCTCACCTTGAAGTCATCTGTCACCGATTTCTCACTTTC